CCACTTCAGCTTTCTTTTGATTAGTTTTTGCATGATATATTTTTATTTATCCTTTTACTTTTAACTTATATATGACTGTGATAAGTTAAAGATTCATATTTTAAGGCTTAGAACAACCAATAAAAATAAAGTGGTGTGACAAATAATATAAAATTAAATGACTTGATGGAAAAATTCAACAAATAATTAGAAATTATAAAAATAATTAAAACACTGAAAATGAAAAATACAATAACTGAAATTAAGAATACAAAGGATGATTTAATAGCAAATTAGACACAGCTTAAGAGAATTAGTCAAGTAGGAAACAGATCAGAAAAAATATTCAAGACTGAAGCCCAGAATGAAAAAAGTATGAAAAATGCAAAAACAACTTCATTGTTAATGTTAAATTTTTAAACTGAATATTTAATAGCATTCACAATAATCTCATATGTTCTATTATACAGAATGAGCTTCCAAAAGCTTTACTGTGACTTCATAAATTAAATGAAAACATTGAGCCACTATTGAAATTAATTTAACTTACTCTTCTTGTAAAGAATGTCAGCCATCATTCTAAAATCAGTATCTATCTTAAACAGTAAAAAGACAAAGATCTCATCCCATATATTTGAAAACTAAAAAGACACTGCCAAAGAATTCATGGATTAAAGAGAAAATAACATTTGAAATTACAAAATATTTAAATCAGACACAGGTACATATAAAAATATTATATATCAAACCTTACAGAATGAAGCTAAAGTGATACTTAGGAATAAATTTAGGGCATTAAATACATATATTATAATGCATTATACTGGAAGATCTAACCAATACAATAAGATAAGACAAGTAAATTTAAAGAGATAAGAATAGGAAAGTAAGAGACCAAATTGCCCTCATTTGCAGATAATATGATAGTCTACCAATCTAGACAGGAAAACTATTAGAATAAAAGAGTTTAGTAACACTGCTAGACATAAGATTAATATACACAAAACAAGTTCCCACTCACAGTAGCAACACTATAAAATTCCTAAGAATAAATCCAATAAGAGGTATGTAAAACCTTTAAGAAGGAAACATATAATAGCCTATGAAACATATGATAGCCTATAAAAGATGACACAAATAAATGAAAATATATGTCATACTTATAAATATGAAGTCACAATATCGGTTTTACCCAAATGAACTTATAAATCCACAGCAATCCAAATCAAAATTCTAATAGGAGTTTTCACTGTTCTTGAAAAGCTGATTCTAAGATTCAGAGAGAGACTACGAAGTGTTTATTAGTGATCAAGATTATTATGAGGCCGTAGTAATTAAGGTAATGTAGAAGTGGCATGGTGATAGACATTTAACCGACAGAGACAAGAGTTCAGGAAAAGATACATACATTTTTGTAAAACTTGATGTATGCAAGTGGCAGCAATGAAGATCACTGGGGAAAAGTACAGAAAATTAATTTTCCATTTAATAGCTAGATCATCACCTTATAATGTATAGAAAAATGAACTGTGGTTAGATTCATGTCCTATGAAAGACAAAACTTGAAAACTTTTAGAAGAAAATGAAAGAGTATATCTTGGAGTAGAGATGGATTTCTTAAATAAGATTTTAAAACCATGAATATGGATTAATTGAACTAAAATAAAAGTCAAAATTCTGCTCAAAAAAAGACACCATAAACAAAAGTAAGAGACAAGCCACAGAGAAAGTTTTCAGGGGTTCCCTCTGCAGATTCTGGAAATCTCTCTATGTAGCCTTTCCTCTCTGGTGTTTGGTCCCATAAATTCAAGCTGCGTTCGTCTCCCAGATGTCACGTTCTTTCCCCTCAACCTGGAGTGCTAGGCTCTCTTTAGGTCTCACCTCCCTGTACTGTAAGTTGGAAACTCACTCCAGGCAATAAACTGGGCAGTCGTGGAGCATGGTTCATTTCATTTCCTTCTTTCAGACATCACCGTCTTATACTGCCTCTCTCCATTATTTCACATATTTGTCTGGTTTTCTAGATGTTTAAGGGCAGGGTATATCTGGCCTTCTTTATTCCATGGTGGCTGGAAGTGGAAGTAATCCTGCTGTCATTTTTATAAAGTTTGAGAACATGCAAAATGATATATATGTATGTGTATATATATATATATATATATATATATATATATATATATATATACAGACTATTATTTCATTTCATTATACATATATTGAATTATGGGGAGAAATGAAATAATAATATAAAAACCATGCACAAGGATGCTAAACACCAAATTAGGGAGAAAAGTTACTCAGAGGAAGAGGTAGGAGAGGACTGCTCTGAAATTGAGATGATTAATAAGCAAGAATGGCAAAATTTTAGAATTCTTTGACAACTAGTCATAGGCACATGCATGTTCATCATGTTATTCTATATGCTTCCGTGTGCATGAAATATTTTATAATAAAAATTTAAAGATATACAAAAGGGGGAATGAGTAAAGAATATTAGTTAAAGGGGCATCCTGGAATGATAAAGAGGTAAAACAGGTAGTAGTTAATGTGTCTATAAGCCACCTAAGTCAGAAGGCACTGTTGGCGATGGGGACAAAATGGTAGCAGAGATAGCATATCTCCTTCCTTCACCAGCTGGGTCTCTGGAAGGCTGTGATTTCCCTGCTGGTGCTTTCCTGTGGGTACTTTCTACTCCTGGACAGTCTTCTTTGGTGAAACCCTTTAAAAATCCAGCTTCCACAAACAGCACAAAACTCCTACCATGATTTGTTGGGTCATCTGTCTACCCACCCCTAGCTCCTGAAGGCTTGAGCTCTTGGGTCACTGTGCTGCTTTCTTATCCACATAGATGGTCTCTCTCTGACTTTGCCTCTCAGTTTCTTGCATTGCTTCCCTCCAATGATCATCTCTTGCTTGGATCTTTGCAGTAGCCTCCTGGCTGGTCTCCCATCTTCATCACCTGCTGCCCCATCTATTCTTAACACAGTAGCCAGCAGAGTGGTCCTTTGAAAACAATGCATCATGTCACTTCACTGCTCCTGGTCTTGCTCAGAGGAAAAACCAAACTCCCCTCATTGCCTTCAAAGCACTGCATTTCTGGCTCCTTCCACCCCACCTCCTGCTGCTCTCCCTCACCCCCTGCCCCTGCTCATCATTCAGGCCTCCCCGATGTTCCTGGAAGCTGCTTGGCAGTCTCCTGCCCCAGGTCTATCTGCTGCATCCTCTGCCTAGAACATTTTTTACCTGGCTATCTACTTGGCTTGTTCTTTCTCTCACCTAAAGTATGGCTTTCTTCTCAACTGTCACATTCTACAGGAGGCCTTTCCTGACCACTTTACTTAAAACTATACTCTCATCCCCACAGAGCTTTCTCTCTCTTCCTCTGCTTTACCTCTTTCTCCCTAGCATGTATTGCCTTTCAATATACTATATAACTTCTTTCCTTTTTTTTTCAATTGTCTCCCTCCACTGGAATATATTCTTCATGAGGGCAAAGATTTTTGTGTTTTGTTTATTGCTGTGATACAAGTGCCAAGAACAAGTGCCTGGCACAGAGAAGACGCCATTAGTGGCTTTGGGGATCCCTGTTTCCTCCTTCAATCGAGGACTTAAGGGGTGGGGGCCAGGTGCACAGTCCCTGATGCTGTCTGCTCACACTGACACTCACAGCAGCGATGTCACTTGGCCTGGGCTTTGAATATCAGCCGAACACGGTGCTGCCAAGGTGTCCCTGGATCCCAGCTGCATGACTCCCTCGGGGCTGCAGGGCTTCTCTGTGACTTCCCCACTTCTCTTGGGGGCAGAAATCATTTGGTTGCTCCCACGCATGAGAGGGCACAGCAACCCTTCAAGGCTGCCTGAGGCTCCATCTGCCCAGATGTTCCAATCTGACTCTCCGTACTGGGCTCTTGCTGTCTTTCTGGGGCTCAGTCCAGCTCTCAGGTCCCACAGCTATTTCTGGGAATTCTGTTGACTCCCTGGGGCTCCACTTTGGATCAGGGAACAAGGACTTTCTCTCTGGGGCTCAATGACATCTTTCCAATATTTTCCAGTGCTTCTCTCCCCACCCCACCCGCCCCATCTCTCTTGCCTAGTTTTCTTCCTTCCCTTCCCCCAGGCTGGAGATTTTTCTCTAATACGGTGAGAAGCGTAATCTTGCTTCTGCTCACCTCTTGCCTATGCTGTGAGTCCTCTCCTTTCTCTAAGGGCCCAGGCTTTTGAAATCTACCAGTAGGGGGAGAGAGCCTTTCTCTCTGCATTTGGCTGTCATATTTTCTCTGAGACCAACCTGGCTGCTTTAATGGGAAGGAGGGTCAGGGCCATGCAAGACAGAAATCTTGGGTGGGGGAATTGTGAAATACTTAAGAATACAGTTGCACCATTTGCTGATAATAATGACTACAATAGTAATGATATAATTAACATTTATTGAGCAATTAGTGTATGACAGGTCCTCTCCCAAGTGCTCTGTAGATGACATCACCATTAACCACTACAACACCTCTATGTGTATTTATTGTTATTCTTATTCTCCATAAGACCAAATTGAAGTCTAGCAACGGAAAGGGATTTACTCAGGTCCCAGACTTTGCAAATGGGCGTGGGCTTCAGACTCAAGCCTGCTGTGCCAAAGCTGTGCGTAACACTGCCCCTCCTGGCCTCTAGGGGACGCCTCTGGAGCCTTGGAACTCCAGGGCCATGGAGATGGGGAATCAGTTTTATTCTTCCTCAGTCCTGGCTCCTTATCCAGCAGGAGCGGGGCAGCCTCTCCTCTTCCTTCCCTGCCCTGGCAGAGGCGGGTCCTTTCCTGCTCCCACGATCAGCCTCTTCCTGAAACCTGATTTCCCTCTCGACTTCTGCTTCAGCAAGTTTCCAGCTTCTCTCTTTCTCTTTCTTGGTTGTACAAACAAAACATAAATTTAGCTAAGAGCTCACACCACAAAAAGAGAAGAAGTAGTAAGTATAAGTAGCAAACAGAGCCCAAGAGTTAGCACTCTTGTCACCACTTATGTGGGCTCGGAGGGTAGAGAACCGAGGCTCTGTGTGTCTCTGCTCCTGGGACCTTCCAGGCTGCCCTTCTTGCTTGATGCGAGGAGAGACCTCCTGGGCTCCTCCCCAAACAGCAGTGCCTTTTTCAACAAGTAGAATGCCGTGGCTTCAGGCAGGCCCCCCAGCTCCAAACTATGTCTATTGTCAGAGGACTGTTACTTTGGATAAACAAGCTGCCTCTAAAAAATCAGGTATCAGAAATTCACATCTTAGTCCGGCTCAGCTGGACTCGCTAGCTCAGATCCAGATACTTAGGGGACAAGTCAACTTGATCCCAGTGGGGAGGGAGGAGAGGATATGTGAAACATGGCGCAGGTCAGTTGGCATACGGGACTGCGAGAGGGTCCTGGGCAGCCGGCCAAGGAGGTGTGTCTCTCTGCAGGTGACGACTCCATCAGCACCCTGGGCCTGATCCTCTGCGTGGGGCTATCACTGCTGCTCGTGTCCATCCTGGGCTACAGCCTGGCCAAGTGGTACCAGCGCGGGTACTGCTGGGAGGGTGAGTGAGCACTGGACCCTGTCGCCCTAGCTCTGCCCAGCCCTCCTCTCCTGTAGCATTTGGCCAGGCCAGGCGGGGCTGCAAACTCTTCAGCATGGTGTCATGTAAAAATATTTCCTGTGGAGGCTGCAGTGGTTGAAGACTTGAGTGGGTGGCTGAGCACTTGAGGTGTTGGGGGTGGGGTACTTGGGCCTCTATTGAGGGAGTAGGGGTTCTTCCCACCCCAGCCAGCAGCCAGCTTTCTCTCCCCTCAGAGCTCACAAGAGTCCACCCCCAAGGCCTGTGTGGGCCTTGAGGCCAAGGGCAATGGGCCAGACAGGCCAAGCTGCAAGTGTCCCCTTCTCTGGCTCCTTCTGCCTCTCTTGCTCTGCCTGTGGGTCTTGGAGCCCTCCCCTAAGCTTGCTGATGCTTCAGCCCCTCTAGGCATCTCCTGGAACTTGCTGCGGTGCTCCCGCCTCTGATCTGTATATGCACTTCCCATAGGACCCGGGTGAGCAGGAGTGCCAAGAGGTCGAGAACATCTCCCGGGTCTGCCATAAACTTCAGCAGCTTCCACGGACGTTTGTTGAGCTCCTACTATGTGCCAATGCACTTTTGCCTAATACGATTTTTTTTAAGTTCCATATAAAGGTGGAATACTTAGTCCCCCCTTTTTTTTTTTAATAAATGAGGGCGTGAGGCTAAAGTTCACAGGGTTGGAAAGTGGTAGAGTCAGAATTGAAGCCTCCTTCCCAGGGGAATCAGTGCCCTTGATGGAGGTATCCCCCGTGGCAGGACCTATTCTCCCAAAAGCTGGTGTTTCCATCTGGGAAGATGGGCTGCCTTCATGGGTGGGGGTAGGAAGCAGACACTGAATGAGACTGGGACCCTCCCACGGTATCCTGAGGCCCAGCCCAGCCACCCCATGCCTCCTAGACAGGGATGAGGGAGAAACCGGTGTTCCCAGAAGAGTGATGGGTAGCCCTCCCTGGAGGTACTAACCCCTCTTTTCCAATTATCTTCCTAGGGCCTAATTTTGTCTTCAACTTGTACCAAGTCCGGTAAGTAGATTCATGGTACATCTGGGTGGGATGGTGGAGGGGGGTTTGATATGCCTGAGAAGAAAATCAAAGATGGAGCCAAAACTTACTGCTTCCCTTCCCTGTCTCCTCCCTGTGCCCCTAAGCAAACAAGAGAAAAGGAAGGAGCCAGGGTCCATTTAGAAAGTTCCATGAATGAAAACTTGACCATGAACAGGATCATGTAAGGTCCTGATGACAGTGATTGTCTTAACATTCACCCCCATGAGGGCACCATCCATCATCCATTAATTCATTTATGGATTCACCCATCATTGATTCAGTAAGGATCTATTGTGGTAGGTATTGTGGTTTTAGTTTCTGAGGGTACAGAGATACTGAACATAGCCTCTGTTTTTATGCATTTCACTGTCTGTGGTGGACACATGCTTGACTACAAATGATATAATCTCAGGCATAATATGGTGTTAAAAGAGAGGAGCGCGTGAAAACAATTGGGATTCAGGGAGTGGGAGTCAGAAAGTCCTCTCGCAATAAGTCATCTCATCTGCTCTCTGCCACAGGGCAGGCCTGCTCCTCGCCCGATCTCAGAGATGGGGTAACTCTGATTCTGGAAGATAAGTCAGTGAGTCAGTGAATCATGGGAAGTTCTTCCCAGGCTCTGGTCTAGGGAGTTGGGCTCCCAGGGAGAGGCCAAGTTCCCAGCCCCAGTAACCTGACTGGAGCATCCTTCTCAGGAACCTGAAGGAGTTAGAGATGGGTCCACCCTTCACCATCAGTGGCCACATCAGCAGTCCAGACGGCGGCTACATGAAGTTCTCCGACAGGCTCGTCTGATGAGGGGAGCGTCAGTGTTCTGCAGTCCCGGAGAAGTGAGTGGAAGGTTGGTGAGTTCCTGAGTGAGTCTGATGTTCCAGCGTGGTCCTCAGATAGTCCAGGCACCCAAGCCCAGCACCAGGGACTGCTTGGAATCCAGAGAGGATTCGGTTCATCCCCCGCCTTCTGGGGAGTGGGTGCGGTAGGAGATGGTCTCTGGTCATGCTGTCCCCCCACCTCCTGCCAGCACCAGTCACTCCTTTGCCACCTGTCCACCTGATCCATGTCCCTTCTTTCTTTCCTGGGGAAGTTCTATTTCTAATCAGATGGAAGCTTCTCGAGTAGGGCTTTCTATCTCAATCCTTTGCTCTGAGATGAAAGTTCCAAAAGGGAACCCTCTTCAAGGAGCATCACTGTAGTGCTCCTTTCTGAACTTTCTGAGCCCTGGAGCTGTCCCCGCTTCTGGGTGGCTGACCCTTTGGTCACACCCTTCCACGTCTGCCTTCAAGGCCACCCCGTCTCTGCATCACAGTTGCTTTCTCCCATCTAAACATCTCCTCCCTCCAGCAGTCCCTCACGGACCCTCTGTTTCTCTCTCGCCGCCTCCTCACCGGAGCCCACACTCAGCTTCCCCATGTGTTTCTCCCACTGTCATGCTCCTCCGCCCGGATGTGATGGTTTAGAGGAATCCTTCCCAAGACGTGTCTCTTTGTCACTGTCCCTTTTCTTTTTCTTCAGGAGGAGGCTCCTGGCTCAGCATCTGCCTCTCCTGGGCTCCCCTAGGCTGCCTTTGCCCCCTGGGTCTTCAGGGCCTGGCCTGGCCCATCTCGTGGACACTGAGGAATCTTCTCCAGGCACACCACCAGGCTGAAGCCTGAGAGTCCCGCAGGGAGTCAGGCCTCTGGGGACAGAGTCTGGGGGAGTCATGGTGTCTTTCTCACAGAAACAGAGAGGTGGCCATTCCCCAGAGAGGTAGGGCTGGTTTCCCGGAGGCCCCTGAGCCTGTGGGAGGAGTTCCAGGTGCCCTGGAGAGCAGAGCCCTCCCAGCTCGGAGGGTGTGGGTGGGGCCTGGAGGCTCCAGAGGGCAGCGCTACGTGGAGCATCCCCTGTCACTTCCCCTGCAGAGCCGACACCAGGGCCAGAAACCTGTCATACCCTCAGGAGGCCAAGCCATGTGGCAGGGAGGTGATTCCAGGAGCTTTTTAATTTTCCTCCCAGAACCAACTTCCCCTAAGAGCTGAAGGCTGAGCTGGGGCCTGTATTCTGCCCTGCTCCGTTCTGCACTTATTTCTGGCACTTTCAACAGCACCCCCCCCCGCCCCCGCACCCCTCATGCCCTCTCATACACCTGGCCCCCATCTGGCTCTGTTTTCTCTGCTGCTGACCAGCCTCTGTGCCTCCTAAACAATTTTGAGAGCAGTGCTGAGAACAGTCCAGAAATACATTCTTGTTTTTAGGTTCCTGGGGTGGGATGGGCATGGTAGGGAGAGCTCTGGCTCCAGATGTTCTCCATTTCCTGTGCAAGGCCTGCCCTGGGATGTGGAAGGTGGACCAGAAATGGCAGGAGTGGGGAAGAGGAACCCAAATTAGGCTTAAAAAAAAAAACAACACACAGCTAATGCACACGGGAAATCAAGAACCAAGAATAGCCTGGTGGACAGCAAACAGTTTGCTCATGAGTCATCACTTCTTCCTCCCATCTGTGCCCTGCTGGACCTGAGGTGGAGCCCACATGGGGATGTTAGCCTAAGTGCTCAGGGCGGAGTTGTTCAATCCAGAGACAGACACTGAGTTCCTGGGGCAGCTGTGGATGGAGCAGCGTCTGAGAGGGGCCCTGCCAATGCTGAAACCTGCAGTTACAACTACCAGCCGCCAGTCTCCCCACTGATGTCCCAGCAACAAAGCCAATGAGATGCAGAGGCCCAGGACGATGACAGGCGAGGAGGCCAAAGGTCATATGATTTGTCTTCCTATCCTCTCTTGACAGAGGCCTGGTGTCTTTCTTGCTCTGGGTTCTAGCAGATTGCAGAGAAAAAAAGGAAGGAGAGAGAGGACTTACCAGCTCCTATCCCCTCACTTCCTGCCACTGTCTGGGGGCTATTCTCCCAGTGTAGCCAGGCTCCTACTTAATAAACCCAGTCTCTGGATTTGGAGGTCTTCAACTGGGCCCCATCTCTTCTACTCCTGAGTACGTGGAGGTGGGGAATAGCCCCAGTGACTCTGGATCCCTCCCTTCCTTGAAGGCCTATTAGGGGTCAGGGAGATGGGCTGACTTTGGTGGCCTTCTTCCTTGAACTTCAGTTCTGAGGGCTGAGTTCCATTTCTTGGCCCAGGGGGTGTCCAGTCTCAATAAAACCTCAACCATGCCCTGCTCAGTGTGGAGCCTGGGTCTGCCCCTGCAAGTGTTCAGAACTCAGTGCCCTTGGGGAAACCGAAAGGATGGAGCGCAGGGCCCAGGTGGTCTTGGCCCTAGGTTTGGTGGTATCAGGTAAGGAGACAGGGACAGCTGCGGAGGGCCGGGAGAATGGAGGGTATTTCCTATCCTTGGGAGCGGAACTGAGACTGAGCCAGTTCCTCTTTTAGGGTCCTCTGACGTGTTCCCAGTCCTCTTTGCCTCCCCCTCGCTTTCCTGACTTCCGTAGTCTGGCTAGCACAGCTTTCTTTCCTCTGGGGCCCCAGGCCCCACCCTAGGATTATCCATATTTTTGTTGGAGGCAGATTCCAGCTCATTCAGAAATGATTAGGGAGCAGGTGCCTAGAAATCTGGCTCTAGGTCTGGTTGTTCTGGGCACTGGCCGGGCACCCAGACTCACGGCCGTGCCAGAGCCTCCTGCAACCTGTGACATGGAGATGATTACTGGCCCCCTTTTACTTATGGAGAGACTGAGGCTTACAGAGGTAGGCTGCACAGCCAGCCACTAACTGCACTGGAGCCCGAGTAGAGCCTGAGGCCGCACAGATGCAGCCTGACCTCAGGGCTCGGTAGGAGGAGGGCTGAACACTATAGATGAAGGTCTGGTCTTGACCTGTCCTGCCATGCTGTGTGGCCGCGGGCTATCACGTCCCCACCCTGGGCTTTCGTTTCAGCATCTAGAAATTCAGGGATTGTACTACTTCTCCAAGTCTCCTCTCTTTTACTTGCAGGAAAAAAGAGGGTCTTATTATTACTATCTTTAATCTCTGTACACTCTGTCTTTCCCATAGGACTTGGCACATAGTAGGCATTCAATAACAAAAGATGTAAGTACCAAGTGTAGTTATAACGCTCTAACTCAGGAGGTGGCAGCTGAAAGGTGACCTTTTAGTTCCTTTAGACCCTGATGCTTGAGGATCGTAAATATTACTCAGTCTGTCTTTGACCTTGGATAAGTTCGACCAGCATCCCAGACTGGACCACTCCCAACCGAGCTGTTCTTTAGCAGGAAGACAAAACACTAATGCTTGCTGGACACATATCAGTGCAGAGCAGGGACTTCATACGCACTGTCTCACTGCATCCTCCCAGCTTCCAGGTGAGGGAACAGAGGCTCAAGTTCTAGTGAAATGATTTGCTGAGGCCAGGCCAGAATTTATTTTCCTTATAATCCTCTGTTACTTTTAGCCTCTACCCAGGCTAGCAGCTTCCCAAGCTCCCGGTCCCCAAGGAAGCAGGCCCCTCCCTCTGGTCTCTAATCTCTTTTCTGGGTCCCCTGGTGTGGTGAGAAGGGCTTCTGTCCTCAGCTCTGAACTTCTCACTGACCCATTCCTTATTCTTTCTATTATTTTTTATATCCCCTATATGGCCTCCAAATCACCGAATTCTGCCTGTTCTTTGTGCTCGCTCAATTTTCACATCCCCAAAGTTCTTTAAGACCTGGAGATCTTCTTGTCCTCTGCTTTTTAATACAAAATACTCTCTGGCTCCCATAACATGATCATTCCCTTGTATTCATTCATGCAGCTTCTATAATGTGCTAGGAACTGTGCTAGGCACTGTGGGGGAACCCAGTCTCTCTTGAGATTAACCTCAGTCCCTCCTATTTGATGAATACTTCTTGTAGGCAAAAATCAGGTCTTACACCTTTTCTGAGTTCTCCATGGTGACTTGTACGGCTCTGGCTGCAGCCAGGAACTTCTCAGGAAATTATATTGGAGGCTTCTTCGGTCTCTTTGGGGGCATCTTGGGTCTTGCTTCATCCCTGGTCCAATCCCAGGTGCTCTGAGAACCAAAGCTTTGGATTTTCTCTTCCCGTCCTGCATCATGTCCCCCCTTTAATCATCAGCAGATACAAATCTGGAGAAAGTGCAGACACAGTGGCTTTTCCTATTGAAGGGACAACCTAAGGGATGGCCAAGCCCACGAAGAGGCTGTGCAGGTGAGGAGGGGGCTCTGCCCTCCTGCAGCTTCCTTTTTCATCGTCATGACCTTACTCCTGCCAGCAGCCACAGAGGGGCCAACATCTACGATACCCCTCTCTCTGGCTTGGGGTTCTGAGAACCTCGAAGTGGGAGCTCATGGGAGTATCATTACTGTATTTTAAAAAACTGCTTAGTGATCAAAAACCATCTAGAAGCAGTGATATTTAAGCAGATCTGGTACAAAACAGGAAGCCAGTGGCCTGGTGAATTCTCACACTTGGGGACCAGAAGTGAAAATGTTCTGTCCCCACCCCCCACCCCCCAGCCCCCGAGCAGCAGCAGGCCAGCAAAACAGCCGGTGGGGCAGCGCTGGAGGTCTCGGCAGACTCCGTCTCCGGGATGTTTCCTCCAGACCCACGGGGGTTGTCTCCTCCTCCCCAAAACCTCGGATGAGGCTTCTCACACACGGGCAGGGAGCCGTGGGGAGGGAGGGGGCTGGACAATGTCAGAACCCTTGTCTTCCGTTCCAGTCCCAGGAGCTGGTGGGCCCCAGGGGCCTTGTTCGTATAAGGCTGCTGTTGGACTTGAGGACTCTGAGGGTCCTTCCAGCTGCAAGGCTACTTCAGAGTGTGGGTGACTTCAGTTCCACAGTGCCGGGGGAGGGCGCAGGGGAGGAGGTAGGCGGAGAAGCTCTGAATGGGCTCTGTGTGTGTGTGTGTGTACGGCAGAGGTAAGCCAAGGAAGAGTGGATTGTGTCTTGTTGACTGCTGTATTCCCAGAGGGCCTGCCCAGGGCAGGTTCTCAATGAATGTTTGCTGAAGGGGTGAACGGCTGCATGTTCAATGTTTTCACGGTCCTTTGCCTTGCCTCCTGACCACATCCCCTTGCTCTAGGCTTCCTGTTTAGTCTGTAGCCCTGAGTCTCTCCAGCACCTAAGAGCTACAGGGTGAGAACAGCAGGGAAGGGAATAATCATGGTATGCCAGGACGAAGCCAAGAAGATGACAAGCCTGAAAGGAAAATCAAGTTTATGTACAGCCTGCTTTATTTTTGTCTCCCAAGGATCCCTTCAGCCTCAGGCTACTGTTACCATCACTGCCGTCTCCTGTTCGGATATTATACTTCTTCAATCTCTTGCACATGCTTTTCCTTGTGAGGAAATCCATTTTTCATGCATTCATTTATTCATCAAAAATGTACTGAGTCCTTATGCTCTATATTAGCCATTGGTTGGGTGTGAAGGACACAGAGATAAAACAAGAGTGTCTGCCCTCCAAGAGCTCACAGTGACAAGAGGACTGGATGTCTTACAGTCAGTGACAGCAGTTTGCCCAGTGCATTACTGAGACGAGTCAGATTGAACACTACTCTCTCCATTTGGCAG